AAAGGTGGAAAGATCTCCCATGCTCATGGATTGGCAGAATTAACAGTTAAAATGGCTATACTACCAAAAGCAACCTACATGGTCAATGCAATTCCCATCAAAATCCCAATGACATTCATCACAGAGATTGAAAAATCTACCCTTAAGTTCATTTGGAAACAAAAAAGACCACGATTAGCCAAGGCAATACTGGGCAAAAAGTGCAATGCTGGAGGTATCACAATACCTGACTTCAAACTATACTACAGAGCCACAGCAATACAAACAGCATGGTATTGGCACAAAAAACAGATATGAAGACCAGCGGAACAGAATAGATGACCTGGATATGAATCCACAGCTATGCCCACTTTATTTTTGACAAAGGTGTCAAAAACATACAATGGAGAAAAGACAGCCTCTTCAACAAATGTTGCTGGGAAAAGTGGTTATCTGCTTGAAAAAAACTCAAACTAGATCCATGCTTGTCCCCCTGTTCCCCCTGTACTAGTATCAACTCAAAGTGGATTAAGGACCTTATTATCAGACCCAAAACCTTGAGGTTAGTACAGGAAAGAACAGGAAATACACGGGAAATAATAGGTATAGGCAAGGACTTCCTAAGTAGAGCTCAAGCGGCTCAGCAACTAAGACAAATGGGACTACATGAAATTAGAAAGCTTCTGTACAACAAAAGAAATGATCTCTAAATTGAAGAGACCACCCACAGAATGAGAGAAAATCTTTGCTAGTTATACTTCAGACAAGGGACTGATAACCAGAATATACAGGGAGCTCAAAAAACTAAACTCCCCCCAAATCAATGATGAACCAATAAAGAAGTGGGCAACTAAACTAAACAGAACTTTTCAAAGGAAGAAGTCCAAAAGTAAAAAAAAAAAAAAAAAAAAACACATGAAAAAATCTCACCATCCCTGCCATAAAGGAAATACAAATCAAAACCACACTAAGATTCCACCTCATTTCTGTTAGAATTGCTACCATCAAGAACACCACCATCAAAAAATGTTGGCAAGGATGTGGGGAAAAAGGAATCCTCATACACTGCTGGTGGGAATGTAAGCTAGTACAACTACTATGGAAAACAATATGGAGGCTTGTTAAAAAACTGACTACATATTTGCCATATGATCCAGCAATACCACTTCTAGGGACATACCCAATGGAATGTGACTCAAGTTATTACAAAGGCACCTGCACACCCGTGTTTATTGTGACATTATTCACAATAGTCAAGCCATGGAAACAGCCCAGATGCTCCACTACTGACCAATGGATTAAGAAATGTGGTATTTATACACAAAGGAATTTTTTTCAGCCATAAAGAAGAAAGAAATTTTGTCATTCGCAAGTAAATGGATGGAACTGGAGAACATCATCTTAAGCAAATTTAGCCAGGCTCAGAAGGACAAAAATCACATGTTCTCCCTCATATGCAAATTATAGACCTAAAACAAATGCAGTAATATTATTGGACATGGGTCAAACAGTAAGGGGAAAACACACATGGGAAGAATAGGGAAAGGGAAGGAAACCTAAAATTTGAATGTGGTTGATGTGTTCACTGTAGAGGAGCGAGTATAGTAATCTTAAACTGACAGAGGTCACTATGTGAAGGGGACTAGGAAGTAGTGAAGAGATTCTGGTAGAGAAGAACCAATTTGGGTTGTAATACACATGTGCATGGAAGCAATGCTAGGAATTTATCTGTATAGCTGTCTTTATCTCAAACTAGCAAAAATGCTACATTTTCTTATTATCTCTTATGTTTTCTCTTCAACAAAATTGGAGAACAAGAGGCTGGAACAAGTTCTGCGCAGAAGTGGGTGGTGGGGTAGGGATGGCCAAATAATGTATACACACTTAAGTAAATGAAAAAACTATAAAATAAAATTAAAATTAAAAAATGACTATATCCTGGTGAATTGAATAAATAAAAAACTGGGATAGGATAGCATATATGAAGGCAAAGGTAACTTAATATATTTAGGGAGGAAAAAATATATAAATCTAAAAAATAGGCTTACATTAAGTAAAAACATAATAGAAGCAAAAAATGATAGAAAGAAATATCTATGCTTGAAAATGAATTGGCTGCAAATCAAAACATCATGTTGTCCTTATAAAGGAAAATGAGCAATATAAAATGAATGGACTGTTTACTCAAGCTGATTATGCTGCTTGGATTCAGTGTGCAGTTATGACCTACTTAGCAAAGGAAGACCTGAAAAATATTTGGAAATACTTAAAGAACCACATGAAGATGAAAGTTTAGAAAATAATAAAAAGCATTACAATGTAGCATACTTTAAGTGACAAAGATAACATTCTTTCTTAAATATTTATATGAAAGCACAGTATTGTGTCATACTATTAACCCCGAGATTGATATATTCTCCACATGCCTTAGTTTAATCTAGTCTGAAACTGATTACTCTTTCTAAATCAACTCCCATTGTTAGCCTACACCACTACTAGGGACCTTGAATGCAGTGTATTATCCTTACTGTTTTGAACTCATCATATAGAGGTTGTAGGTTAAACCAAAAGACAATCAAAGAAAATGGGTTTTCTTTTTGCTTTATTTAAAATTCATTCTTATTTTAATAAAATCAAGTTGCACTCGTGAGAAATTTGGAAAATGTAGATTAAAAAATTCTAGTGCAAACTCACCACCCAGAGATAAAATGTATAAATTCTCCAGTATATGCCTTTTCAATATTCGTTTTTTGACGTATTTTTGCAATGTGCTATAGATAGTAAGTAGCACAGCATAGGTCAGCACTTCTCAATTATATTCACTTTTTGATAATTGTTCCTCTCTTAGAAAACAAAGGTTCTCTCATCCAGTAAATTTGGTGAATCCGCAGATTAGATCCCTTCCCTCTTGAGACAAACACTATTTATCAGGGGCTACACAAAGTTGAACAAGACAGTCTTATTTGTGCAGGGGAGAGATTTTTCACACACACTGTTAACATCAATCTCAACTGCTTTCCCTTTGAAAGGTGGAGGTACAGTTGTCTAGAGCTTGCACTTTCAAATGGAACAGGCCCGGGTCATAGGCCTGACCTCCCAGCTTTGTTTCCTTTACAGAGTTGCTACCTATACATTGTCTTTCTCTCCATAAAGGAAGCACATGAATGCTTACCTTACAGAACCTCATGGAGGGCTAAGAGACAATGCATGGAAAGCCCTTTAGCACCATGTCTCATACACACCACTTCAAAAACCAGGCTTCTTGAATGATTTTATATTTGCTAACCTACTATTCCTGCCTAACTATAGATCACAATGATTTCCCTATGTCATTAAATTTTTTCAATTTATTGACCTCTTAGAAGTCTATCACTATGCCTTACCCTATAATTGATTCATCCAATAATGTACTATAAAAGTACTTATTCTCATTTTTTTCTTTTATAAATAATGTTTGCTGGATAGCTTCACATATAGAACTTTGTCAACATCTTTGTCATTGTAGTTGATTCCAAGACATGGAATTGCCAGTTAAAGGGCAAAGATATTTAAAACCTCTTGACACATATTACTAAACTGTCAGAAAGCTTACATTGAATTGGGTTTTCAATATAGGTTGAATAACCACTCCTCCACACCCCTGTAATCTAATCTTTCTGTTAGGATAATAGTAGAGCTTGTCTGCCAAACAGAAGCAGAAACATTTTATTGAATTTACATTTGCTGTAGGTATAGAAAAGAGAAGTTAAATTTAGGAATTAGCTAGTTGAAAGATACACTCATCTTCCAGTGACTTACAGCACCTCTAGCTGGGCTGGACTGAACAAGCCTGGAGGTGAAAGTCTTACAAAGCTACACCTGATGAGGATAAGGTTTCCAAAGATAAAAGTCAGCAATGAAAATAAACTAAAACAAATGTGATAAATGGAGAACAAACATGTTTAGAAGCTTAGGAACTCAAAAAAATGATACAGGTTCTTTGCTTAGTTCACACTATAAAAGATCTAAAAGAGTTCACTAATTCCTCATGACATAAAAGTATATTTACATGTAAGATGGCAGAATATTGAAGGCATTCTGTTTCTTGAATTCAATTATGAGGAATTAATTGATGTGTTGTAAGTTTTAGGTGTAAATAAAGTAATAACAACATGTCTTTGAAAGTAAGGTCTATGTCCCATTAATTCTTGGATTCTCCATTACCTATATGGAAACAGGCACATATCGGCAGGCAGTAAGTATGTATTTGCTGTGTCTATAGAGACTATTGTGTATAAGGTTTTCATGCCCTGTATTTATGGGGAGATTCTTATTCCTCAAGGGAGAGAAACAGTCAACTTCAATGGTAAAATCACTGGTAATGTATTTCCAAGATGAATCAAGAATGCATGGGGATTAATGATATCTCCTGTAGCTATATGTGATATTTTTATTCCCAGGTATCAAGGAAAGACATTTTCCAATGATATATTCCATGAAGAATCAAGCTGCCATTCTACAAATGCCACAAAATGTCATCAGATTATTCTGGAAGTATATTGCACATCTTAAATGATTTTTTGGTTTTAAAATGGTGTTAATTAAATAATAAAAATGAAAGATCCCTTCATAATTATAAAAGTTACCCCTCTCTCAACTTTCTAACCACGGCTCTGAGTTAAGTTAAATGGATTATCCACTTTTGCTATCTATATCTGATAATTAGCTGGAGAACTGTCAAATCCTCAGTCATAGATCAAGAAGAATAAATTTTTAAATGACTAGGCAATTAGCTAAAATGGAACCAAATTCCAAAATTTCATTGTTTTGCACTATATCACTAAAGCTATGAGTTAGTGAAATGATTATGAGGGCTGTGCGTTGAATCCTTGAGCTCAAAAAAAGAGAAATCATATTCTTTACTTATCTGACTTATTACTGAAACTTCTAAGTTCCTTTTGTAAGATGCATTTTCATAAACAAATCAATGTTTCTAAAGGAATCACAGAATTACAGATAATATGGCATTTAGAGGTTCTCACCTGAGTAATGAAGGGTAGAAATGTGATATGCAAGAAACCCAATGTAATGGTTGGTTGAAGAATGCTTTTAAGGAACCTGAAGCAGAGTCATCCAGGCCATGCTGAAAAGTCCTGAGGAAACAGATATAATGATTTCAGAATATTTAGGAAATACTATGAGGACCATTGAAATAACTTTTAAGTTTTACTAAATGCTCACTAAATGATTTTTTTAATATAAAACAGTATTGTGCTAGTGTAGACAATGTACCCACTCCACCCTCTCAGAATTATGTTAGTATGCAATTCAAAGGCCATGAGACAAGTCAGTAGTGCCACAAAAAACATGAGTTGAGAGGATCTTTATGAATCTCTATAACCTCTATATATGTGTTTAGGCCCTTATGAGTATAGAAAATTAATTATAAATTCTCATTTGTTGCTTAGTATATATAAATCACTTTAGCCACTAAAAAGATCTGCCTCACATTAAACACTTCTACATTAATAACCAAGTGTTTATTGGATGCAGGTTGAGGTAGGTGCAATGGGATATAATATTACTACTCACAAGAGACACAAGTAGCACTCCTTATACTTTCTTTGCGATTTATTGTCAACAAATTTTATAATATTGGTTTTAAAATATTAACTGGTAATGATATCGTTATATCTTCCCAAAGGGTAGGAATTGTTACATAGAGGTTCACAAAGAGCCTAACTCTCAACTCATAACTTTGAGGGACTGAAACTATTTGAAATAAACCTAAAGAAAAGCACCAAATAGGAATTTGGATTTACTGATCTAGTATATACAAGAGATATCTGGTTTGAAGATGTTGCTGTGGAAACTATCTGCATAATGGTAAAACCATGAGAGTGGATGAATTCCCCCCCAAGAAAAAGTGTAGAGTGAAAAGATGGTCAAGGACAGATCTTTGAAATACATTAGCATTTAATGGTAACATAAGAAAAAGAAGCATCCAAATGAAACCAAGCAGGAAGACTCAGAGAAGTAGGCAAAGAGCCAGGAGACAATAATGTTGGCGAAGCCAAGGGAAGGGAAAATGACCAATAATGTCTGCAGAGAGATTTGTAAAAAGAAAAGGAGTCTACTGGAGTTAGTGACTGGGTATGGGTAAATGGCTTTGGCCTGACTTGTTTCGATGATGAGCACAGAAGCCCAGCTGCAAACACACTGAGTGAATGGTAGGTTAAAAAAAATAAAAGTAGAAACAATGAACTCAAATTATTTATTATTATTATTTATTATTTATGTTTCCCTAAACACAGTAATCAAGGAGGAAGAGTTTTAATACAGGAGATGCTTAGAGAAATGAGCCATGACACAGGAAGAATATTTAAAAGACAAGGATCATGGAATAGGTGGAAAATATTATCAGGAGTTTAGGAAAAAAGATTTGCTTTAGGGCTGGGGGTGTGTGGCTCAAGTGGAAAAGCACCTGCCTAGCAAGCACATGGCCCCAAGTTCAAGCCTCAGTACCACACACACACACACACACACACACACACACACACACACAATTGCTTTAGTTGGGAAAAGAAATCCATTGATCAGAGACCAATAAAGGGATGGGGATGTAAGTAAGGATTAAAATAATGATTATGAAAGGATATGAGAAGTAAAAGTGCATTTATTATGGTCTGGATTTTCTCAGAAGTGCAGGATCCAAGATTCTCTGCTAACAAAACTGGGATGGGGCAAGGTCAGGGGGTTGACCAAAGTTGAGAAGGATGGGAGGAGGAGCAGCTGCCCAGAGAGTGGACAAAGAGTGGGGTTGTTAACAGGTACAAAAGGATTGCTTAGTGTACCAGAGTCTGGATAGAGAGGTCATCAAAGTGAGAGTGCAGAAAAGGGACATGTAAGGGATGTCTCTAGCAAGGGAGTTAGGAAGAGGAGGATGCTGCAGCAAGGGTTTAGAGAGAGAGGCAGTCTCAAAGAAAGTGACAGGGGCTAGGTACAATGGTTCATACCTATAATTCCAGCTACTTGAGAGGCACCGATTGGGAGAATCATGGTTCAAGGTCAGCATGGGCAAAAAATTGGTGGGACAGACTGGGGGGAAGAGATAGGACAAGAGGTGAAGTGCTTGATGAATGAGTGGGAGGGACTGGAGACACACAGTATCATAGCTTTTACCTACTTTCCTACTACTTTGAGCCCTTGCGTAAATACCCATCTGTCCAGTTATGGGGCCACTTCTTTTCTCCCAAAATGAATACCTTATCTACATTGTCCTTTCTGTCATGTTAGCTAGTTCATAGATTGTTCTACCTTGAAACGTGCTCTAAGTCTTTCCTGACCACTCTGTCTAAAATATGTTCCTTCTCACCACCTCTCAATGGTCTTTGCTTTGTTTGGGATTTAACTCTACTTTAATTCTTTTACTGTTACTTTTTTTTTTTGTCTGCTCCATACCCAAAGTGTAGGGTCATAGAAGATCATTAAGAAGCAGTATGTGGGCACATACAGAAGTGATGGAGTCAGATTGCCTGGGTTAGTATCTTGGCTGTGCTTTTTTATTAGATAAGTAATATTGCTTGACAATTTATTTACCTCAGTTTTCCCATTTGTAAAATGGGATTGATGGCTCAGTGTGAAGACTCTGAGAGGTGAGGCATATAAAGGATTTAGCAAAGTGGTCAAATACAGTGAGGGCCAGCATAGGTGAGGTGTCAGTTATAAATGCTTCTTCCAAAGGTGTATGATTATCTGAAAACTGGTGTGAAATTCCTAATAATCTAAATAGTTGCCTAGTTACAGTTTTACCCTCAAGACTAGAAGAAATAATGGAAGATCTAATATAATGGAATGGTTAATTGGTGCTCAAATTTCTTAGACTGCAAATGAAAGACAACACAGTATTTACTTGGACATTTCTGCCAGGACCTAAACTCTTTTAGTCCACCTACAGTTTTCCAGTTGCACTGGTAATGGGAAGGTTATTCGGCTATAAGAGATGTTATGGCAGATGTTTATGGTCTCAGAGGGGGTGGGATCTGTATGAGCATTTAATTCCACAGCAAGATCCCAAATTAGTTTCATTATTCTAGAGAGTATAACAGGGTAAAAATTGGCCCACAAGCCTCAATGGGGGAATGAAATTATGAGCTAGCTATTAGATAACCTCTAATGATGTTTTAGTATAGAGTTAAATGAGAGGATGCTCTGAATAATTCATAGCAGAAGGCAAAATACAATTGGATGAAGCATAGCATTATATTTTCCACAAGAACATAAAAGAATTTTGATATAGCAAGTTTAAATACTTTAAAATGTAAATAACTGCTTATAGTTTGAAACAGAATGTATTTCTTTTCCTTTCCAAATTTGCAGACTGTAAACAAAGGTGGCTTTTCTTTGGGGGAGAAAGTGAATTGAGGAGAATTCTTTGCCTCTGTTCTTCCTCTGGCCTCAGTGAGCCACACCCCCTCCCTCTCATTAACACCTCTCTGCCTCTGGGCTTGACCACACCATAAAGCTTCAGCACTCTATCCTATATTCATTTGCTTCTGGTTCTCTGATCTATACGCATGCTACTCTCTTTAATTCTGTGACAAAACCAATTGTTTCTTGGGCTTCTGTAGCCAGCTGCTGGAATGAAATAAATTCACAAGTGAAAACTAAAAGACTTAGATGAGTTTATGCTTTCCTTGTGCCACTCTGAGTTTGGTTGCCCTCCCAGCAGAACTTGTTCTCATGATGTTAAAGGGATAAAATTTCACAGTGGATGGAATTAAGGTAGCCCAAAGATGGATGCAAGCTCCATGGGGGTGGAGGAGTCAGGTCTGTCTTCTTGTATCATCTATACACACCATGGTACCTAGGCCACTGGAGGTAATCAGTAAATAAAAATAACAAGAGAAGACCACAACCTCAGAAGGAGAATTCTTTTGAAACTGAACTTTTGAGATAGCACTGGAACACGTGATAACTAAGGGCATGTGAGTCTTTTTCACAGCCCTGAAATCAAAAACAGTTATAAATATGCAGAAGAAACTAAATTCAACCACTTCATGGTTGTTTGGTTTTGTTTTTTTGGTGGTATGTGGTTTGAACTTGATCTCAGGGCTTCAGCTCTAGGTAGGTAAGTGCTCTACCACTTGAGCTATGCCCTCAGTTTCCACTCAAGATTTAAGTAGAATCCTGTCACTGCTATTTTTTTTTTTAAGTGATATTCATGAGTTCAGGGCTAGCCTAGGCTATACAGAGAAACTTGCCTCAAAAAAAAAAAATAGCAAGAAGCAACAAATGAAGAATGTTATGTTTGGGGCCAAATGTTGTTGTTTAAATGTCAGTATGTGAGAGAACTCATTGCAGTAAAATATACTTCCCTACATGTCTCCTGCCCACTGGCTTGAATTTCTAATAATGAAAAAAAGCTCTCTGAGGTTAGAAAATGATGATTTTTTTTTAAGTTAGAAAATGACTAGGACAATACTTGGTCCACAGAAAATACATGGCGAGGAGGAGGAGGAAGAAGAAGAAGAGGAGGAGGAAAGGATGAATAAAAAGCATTGTCAGATCCTGTTTAGCAGAAAGGAAGGTGAATTTGGAGGCCATGTGTGAAGGACACACAGCCAAGGGACTGGTTGAAAACAGGACATAAGATGGAGAGAGAAAACAGACTGTACCCCAGGGCATAGCAGAAACCAGTCTAAGATTCAGGGCATAAACCATCTCCAAAACTAATGACTTTTTTTTGTTTTTTAATCTTATTAGGGCCCACATATAAGGTTTTTGATTTTTCTGGTGGGTTTTTGTTTTTAAAGATACTTTCCTCAAAAAGTAATATTTAGAAGGAGGTATTCAGAGGGGTCTATCTCCTTTTAAACAAAATGGCTAAGATAAGAAATTTGACTTTCTGGATAATTTCATATTCTGCCAAACACTTTTTACTTTTCACATTTAAAATATTTTTATTTTTATTTCCATTCAATCTATTTTTTGAGACACTGCCTTATTAAGTAGTCCAGGGTGGTCTTAGACTCACAATCCTCCTGCCTCAGACTCCTAAGTGCTGGGATTACAGCATGTACCATCACACCAAGACAACCTATATTCATTTTTAGTAGCTTTATTAAGATATATAACTCACAGAATTTACACA